TATTGGTTTATCTATGTGTTATTGCAGGTGTCCTCTGAGTCCAGAAGAGGGCATCCTCCTCTGGAGCTAGAACTGCAGATGGCTGTGACCGATCTGACATGGGTCCTCTACAAGAGGAGTATGAGCAGTATGAGCTCTTAACCACTGGCTTATCTTTCTAGCCTGTAGAACTATCCCCCCACCTCCACCCCCTCTTTAGGACAGGTGTAGTCCTGGCTGCTCTGGAACTCACTCTGTAGACCGGGTTGGCCTGAACTCAGAGATCTGCCTGCCTCTGCCTCCTGAGTGCTGGGATTAAAGTTGTGCACCACCACATCCACCTGTAGAGCTTTTAAGGTTGAATAATAGTCTGTTGTAAAGATCTCATCTGGCTTTGGATAGTTATTTCTAAATTGTATGCACCAGTCTAGAGAGGACAGTGTACAATCTAGTAATACCTATTGCTTGCTTGTTTTTCATGGGCTCTTATTGTAGAAGCATTATTTTAGTCCTAGCGGAGTGGTTGTAGAAGGACATCACTTTCCTTCCTAAGGACAGTCTCAGTGGGGTGACACGAACCTAATGGAATTACAGGTGGCATTCCAGAGACATTTGTTCTGGGAATAGTGCAGTCACACAAACCTTATAATAACAGATTGTGTTTTCCTACCCATTCTAATCCTTTGTTTACTGTCCCATGCAGTATCGTGAAGAACGATTCCGTCTGACCAGTGAGAGCACCAATCAGCGGGTCCTGTGGTGGTCCATCGCCCAGACTGTCATCCTCATCCTCACTGGAATCTGGCAGATGCGTCACCTTAAGAGCTTCTTTGAAGCCAAGAAGCTGGTGTAGGGCTCTTGCTGTATGACCTTTCCCTTTTACCTTAATTATTTGATAATTTCCCCACCTAGTCCCTGTCCACCTGGATTTTGAGGAGGAAAATTGAAAAAACAACGTGTCACATTGGTATCATGGCAATAAGCCATTCAGATCAGCTACCTTTTGACCCTGGTTCTCCAAGAAACAGATATTGGTCCAAGCTTTCAAAATCTGCCTTAGGGTTTGGGAGAAGTTGGAATTAACCCAAGATCGAGTCGTTTTTTTTGCCTCTGGTGATTCTCCCGTTTTCAGAGAGATGAACAAATGTTCTTCTGTTTTCTGTTTGTCTGCTTGTGCAGTGGGCAACTGGCATACCCCATGGAGGAAGCGCTGCCTCAGTGTTCCTGGGTCAGTCCTGAGTTCTCTCAATGGCTTTGTGAATGTAAATAAGGGACATTTCTTGGCCCTGAAGGATTGAGATTTTTTCTATATTTTAGAACTATTTTTGGATAAATTATATATTTTCCTTCCTGGTTTGATCATCACTGCCTGTAACTAGCCAAAAACACCAATCCAGACCTATGCATTCTACTTACACATTTTTAGTATCTGCCATGAAGTGCTCAGAATTTCAGCAGTTTGGGGCCAGAAAGCAGACACTATAGTTAGTCTCAAGTCCGTGTTAGAAGTCCAAGAAGAGTTATCTTGTGAGTCCAAACCCACAGGGTCACAGAGTCGGGTGACAGTCGGGTGACAGAGTAATTCCGAGCAGTGTACTCTCCCCTCAACTTTTACTTAGAAGTAGTAATGTTTTATAGATTTTGTTTTTGAGACAGTCTCACTCTGTTGCTCTGGCTGGCCTGGAACTCCATATGTAGACTAGACTAGCCTCATATCCACCTGTGTCTGCCTACCAAATGCTGTGATTAAAGAGGCATGTGCCACCACACCTGACATAAATATTTTCTTCAAGGGAACCAGGCTTTGGTTCTGTATGCAGATTTTCTTTGAATGAAATGAAACTTAGTAGCTATGTTTGATGTAAAATAATAGGTGTGGGCAGAGATGAGGCCAAAAGGGAAAAAAAAAAAAAAAAAAAAGGGAAGGTTACTGGCCTGGCATTTGTAGAAAATGTGCAGTAGACTTTAGTGGGTACTCATGCTAAGGCTTGGCCTGGGAGTGGGATGGGTTGATTGCTTAAGGTTACCCTAGTAAATAAGATGTCAGCAAGGAGCTAACAGACCAAATCATAAGCAGTTCTTATGATACTGCCCTCACCCCTTCTGCATAAACCTCATGCCATTAGTTGCCCATTGATATTTTATTTCAGTTTTATTACATATTTATTTGGAATATTTATTAAATTTCTTTTTCTGACTTATAGAACTAAATTCTCCCCTTATTTCTGTGTTCTCTATTTTATATGAATCTGTTTTACACTTAAAGAGTATATATGCATTTTTTTTTTTTTTTTTTTTTTTAGTTTGCAAAGAAAAAGGCCCCCCCCACCAAAAAAAAGTTCTGCATATCCCTCCTGTTTCTAATTCTGGATGACCAACTTATCCACCAGAAAAGTTCCTCTGATACTTAAAATAGTTTTTTGCAGTTTTCAGTTTAGGATCAGTTTGAGAAGCTGGGTGATGGTGGTGCCTGCCTTTAATCCCAGCACTCAGGAGGCAGAGGCAGGCGAATCTCTGTGAGTTCGAGGTCAGCCTGCTCAACAAAACTACACAGAGAAACCCTGTCTCGGAAAAAAAAAAAAAGAGAGAGAGAGAGAGAGTTTAGTTCTTGAGACAGAGTATGTACACATAGCCTTGGTGTACACCAGGGTGGGCATTGAACTCACAGAAATCCACTTGCCTTTGCCACCAGAGTGCTGGGACTAAAGGCCTGTGCCACCATGCCCAGTAAGAAAATGTCTTGGTTTGTTTTTCAGACAGCCTTGAGGGAGCACTTGTGTTGGTCTTTAAGTCAAGATCCTCTTGGCACTGCCTTCAAAGTGTTGGGATCATAAGTGTGTGCCAACATGCTCAGAAATAAGATGTCTTCTGAATGACTTAGATGTTTTAAACCCATAGTGTGAGATTCTTGAGAAGAGATGCTTGTCTGCTGTGTTGGTATCTCAGGAATTCTAGCCAGCAAAGCAGACACTGGACCTAAGGGAGTAAGAAGTTAGAAAAGGCCAGGCATTGGTGGGCTTGCCCAACAATAAACACAGTGGAGCACATATCCCAGTGAACAAGCGAGGTTTCTCCTGCTGATTGCTTTCAACTCCACCTTGGAGACTCAATAGGTTTCTGGTGGCACTGAAGTACTACCACATTCAGTCTTGTATATGAGGAGCATGGTAGGCAGGAAAATGACTGTCCTAAGAGCATCAATTCAAACCCCTGAAAGTTATGAATACCACCTCCCAACATGGCAAGGATTGTTAGCCAGATGACTTTGAAGTGAGGAGTTCATCTTGAGCAGCGCAGTTCTCAACCTGTGGGTCATAACCCTTTGCAGGTGTTGCCTACGACCATCTGGAAAAGATATTTACATTACAATTTGTAACAGTAGCTGAATTACAGTTATAACGTAGCAATGAAAATAATTTCATGGTTGGGTCACCACAACATGTATTAAAGGGTCCAGCATTAGGAAGTTTGAGAACCATCGGTGTAAGTAATAACAGGTGCTGGAGACTAGCCTTTCCCAAGTAGGCTTCTAGGCCTATCCTAAGTCTCCCTTCCGATTAGTCTTCCACTTTTCCTGTCTTTTGCTGATGGTTGAAACAACCTAAGGCACCATCATGCTAGAGAAGAATACACTGAGCCATTTTCTTGCTTTCAAAGATTTGTGGTGTTTCCCTTTCTTAATAAATGGTCACCATAGTAAGACCCTGTCGGTAAATGTGTTTAGTCCCCACCAATCTCTATTATTGCTATAACAATTACAAGGTGACTTGAAATACAAACTGTTAGGTTTGGGAGACCAGATTAGGTGACCTTCGGGCAAATAGTTTATTAAAGCACCAGTGTCAAAGTAACATACACAAGCATAAGCAAACAATCCTAAGAACCACAGACACTAGGCTCATAGCAGGGGGTACCTCTCCTGCAGTGGCTGCCAGTTTGCTGCTGTTTCAGGCTTGGGCAGGGACTTGTGTTCCTCTGAATTCAGGCTCCTGAGGGCCCAAAGTCGTGGTAGCAGGTTTATGAACAGGTGGCTGTCATCTTGATGGACTGGTTGTTTCAGAGCTCCAGGACACAGAGTCTTGGTACACTCTAAAATTCCCAGTTCTGAGCTGGTCCCTTAAGTAGCTTGCTAAATCTTGCTAATCACACTTTGCCACACACCACACATTGTCACTCTTATCTCTGGGTAGTGGGCCTATGCTCCCTTTCTTTTTAATCTTTCTTCAGCCAGGCTTTTGCCTGCCTAGTTGTAAGCTTCTGTGTTAATCTCCCTCCAGCCAGGCCTTTGCCTGCCTGGTTACAGGCTCTCGAGGACAAGGTGCTCAGAAGAAATGGGCCCAAGGTCGGCTGACATCACCTAACTAGATTTGTAGACATAGTATATCATAATTTTGGCTTTAGAAGGTGTCTAAGAGGACCCAATCAAGTCGGGCATGATGGCGCAGCTTTAGTCCCAGCCAGTCTGGTATAAACTGCTACGTTCCTGGTCAGCCACAGTTAAATAGTGAGACCCTGTTTTGGAAAATCAGAACAAAAAAGTTCCAGGGACATCCCGGGGGAAAGGGATTCTGGAAGAATGGGCCTAGTAAGTATGTGGTAACACTGTCTCTGACTGCAGCCTTTGGTTTTGGTTTTATGGGAAAGTCAGGTCCTAGGAAGGGGTCAGGTCAACTTGGCACTAATGCGAGTTATGAAGGATAGCAGGGCATGTGGCAGGATCCGTGAGAGTCTTCATAGCAGCTGTCTTTTGGTTTCTTCTGCGAATATGCCCAAGTGTCGTCCTTGCTGCCTCCTCTCAGCCAAAACCGGGTCGGATCCTAATCGCAATTTAGCAGGCCAAGTCCTGCCCACGCCGCTAGTGGGTAATGAAGGCTGGGGCGCCTGTACAGAGGTATTCGCGACTTGGAAGGCGCTCAGGGACCGCCTCCGCGCCTGCGCACGGCCTGGCAGCACAGATTTGAGGCAACGCCGGACGCCTACACGGAAGAACTTCCCGGAAGTGACGGCTCCTCCGGAACCGACTGGTTGTTGGTTTGTCCCGCCTTACGCGTGCGCACTGCCAGCGCAGAGGCACACCATGGAGGACCAAGAGCCGCTGGGTTTTGAACACATGGGGCTGGATCCCCGCCTCCTGCAGGTATGGGAAAGGTTGTGGAGCTGGGTCCCGGCGTGCCCCCGCACTGCGCGCCGCCTGAGCCGCGTCCTATCCCTCCTTAGGCTGTCGCTGACTTGGGATGGTCACAACCTACGCTGATCCAGGAAAAGGCTATACCTCTGGCGCTGGAGGGGAAGGACCTCCTGGCCCGCGCCCGCACAGGCTCTGGCAAGACGGCAGCTTATGCTATTCCTATGCTGCAGTTGCTTCTCCACAAGAAAGCGGTGGGTAGCGAGAGGGGCAGTGGGCAAGAGGAAGGAAGCCCCGAAAAGCTGGGGAGGGACGTGCCCATCTGTGCAAAGGTTTCTTTTGATCCCTTGATGGAGTTGAGGTTACCTGTCTCAACCCAGGCCTTGCTGCCACTACCTTGTTATAATCTCGAGTAAATCATTTTTTTTTTAAATCTAGGGAAGGCACATTAACTCCATACCTAGTAAGTGTTAATTAATTTCATACATGCAGCAAGTCATTTTCTAATTTCAGTGCTTGGGAAAGCGCTCCATTCAGTGTTTTGACGGGGGCAGAATTAAGAGTTTATCAGAACGTAGCTAGGTAATTGTATTGCACTGTCCCCACTGTTTGGAAGAAGTGAGAAAAAGCATCACATGGACCCAGTACATTTAACAGTCTTTAACCCATGCTTTTACAGACAGGTCCTGTAATGGAACAAGCTGTGAGAGGCCTTGTCCTTGTTCCTACTAAGGAGCTGGCACGGCAGGCACAGTCTATGATGCAGCAGCTGGCTGCCTACTGTGCTCGGGATGTGCGAGTGGCTAATGTCTCAGCTGCTGAAGACTCAGCTTCTCAGAGGTGGGTGAAAGCTGCAGGGTTGTAAAGGAACAAAGCTATTCAAAGATGTGTGTGGCTCTGGTTTTGTGAATAGCAAGAGAAGGCAGGTCTGCTGGGGTGAGGTTCTGGCTGCTAAATTCTTGTTACTTACAACTTGCCACCTGCAGAGCTGTATTGATGGAGAAACCTGATGTGGTGGTGGGGACCCCATCCCGAATATTAAACCACTTGCAGCAGGACAACTTGAAGCTCCGTGACTCCCTGGAGCTGCTGGTGATAGACGAAGCTGACCTTCTCTTTTCCTTTGGCTTTGAGGATGAACTCAAGGGTCTTCTTTGGTAAGGAAGAAAGGAAATGGCTCCTAGTGGGAACCTCTGTGAGTCTAGACTGGGCTGGAGTGGGATGGGTGGAACTGGAGCCTGATCAGGCCCTGTCTTTTCTTTTAGTCACTTGCCTCGGATTTACCAGGCCTTTCTCATGTCAGCCACTTTCAACGAGGACGTACAAGCTCTGAAGGAGCTGGTACTACATAACCCGGTAAGGGGTACTAAGTGCACATTTGGAGCTGGAGCCGGGGGCACACTCAGAGGCTTGTTATTCCTTCTCAGAGGAAACTTTTGCTGTTTGGGGTGGGACTGTTTATGTTAGTTTTTTCATTCCTACTTCTTAGTCACTGAAAGGAAGTCACCTAAAATTATATATTTCTAGGTGTCCCTGGCGAAACTCTGTTTGCCTAGGAGGCTTACATGGGGTCATTTTGTATCAAGGGGAGCCAAAATTCTTAAGATCAGAGCTCTCTTCTTGTACATATTTTAGTCTTCAGAACCATTACGCAGGCCTTCTGTGCTGCATATTGTCCATCAGTGTTTCTCATGTTGTGTACACTGATGCTGTATGTATGGTTTGTGTTTCTATATACCACAATAGTTAGGGTGCTTTGAGTTCTTAGGTTCAACCCTGGGGTTCGGGCGTGTAGGGGTGCGGTGATGTCTCACTGCTCCTCACTAATGTGGGTGCTTTGGTTGCTGGGGCAGTGGCCATAGTGCCTCTTCTTTCTTTCCTGATCACAGGTGTGTCCTCTTCCTAGGTTACCCTCAAGTTACAGGAGTCTCAGCTTCCAGGGCCAGACCAGCTGCAGCAGTTTCAGGTGGTGTGTGAGACTGAAGAAGACAAATTCTTGCTGCTGTATGCCCTGCTCAAGCTGTCACTGATTCGGGGCAAAGCCTTGCTTTTTGTCAACACTCTAGAGAGGGGTTACCGGCTCCGTCTTTTCCTAGAACAGTTCAGCATTCCCTCCTGTGTGCTCAATGGAGAACTCCCACTGCGCTCCAGGTTTGTTATGGTCATGTCTTGGTGAAGAAAAGCTGAGAAGAAACATGGAAGGAGAACCCAGTTTGTTCTTTCTTTTTGGGGGGGAGGGAGTTTTTGAGGCCAGATTTCTCTGTGGCTTTGGAGGCTGTCCTAGAACTAGCTCTTTTAGACCAGGCTGGCCTCGAACTCACAGAGATCCACCTGCCTCTGCCTCCTGAGTGCTGGGATTAAAGGTGTGCACCACCACCTCCGCCCGGCTATTCTTTTATTTTTTTTAAGAGGTAGGGTTTTATGCTGTATTTGTAGTCTAGGCTGACCTTGAATTTACAGCAGTCCTCCTGCCTCAGTTTTCCAAGTGCTGGAATTAAAGCTATGGGCCAGCTCACACATCTTGGTCTTATTTTTTCTCTCCTCTCCTCCCTCTTTGCAGTGCTAGGGATTGAGCCCAGAGCCTTGTTCATGCTAGATAAACACTCAGTCAATGAGTTGTACACTTAGCCCCTTGTTTTTGTTTTTTTTTTTTTTTTTTTTTGAGACAGGGTTTCTCTGTGTAGCCCTGGCTGTCCTGGAACTCACTCTGTAGACCACGTTGGGTCTGAACTCACAGAGATTCGCCTGCCTCTGCCTCCTAAGTGCTGGGATTAAAGGCGTGTGCCACCACCGCTGGACCCATTACTCCATTTTCAACTGAGAAAGTTAAGGCACAGACCTGAAGATGATAAGAAATTATAGAGGGCAAAGTAGGAAAGGATGACGTTTAGGGTGATGCCAGGACTGGGGAGAGCCTCTGTGCTGCAGGCTGACTGCTTGTCTTGGATTGCAGGTGCCACATCATTTCACAGTTCAACCAAGGCTTCTATGATTGTGTCATAGCAACAGATGCTGAGATCCTGGGACCCCCAGTCAAAGGCAAGCGGAGAGGCCGAGGCTCCAAAGGAGACAAGTAAGTCTCAGTTCTCTTTTCTCAGTGTTCCTCCAAGAGGACTATTTTTCTGTATTTGTAAGACTGAAGCCAAAGTGCACAGAATGGGTTGCCAGACATTCTTGATGGTTATACCAGGCTGTCCCCGTGGGCCCTTGGAGAAGTAGAGAGGGTGGTAAAGGGCGCTACCTGCATGTTCAGCACAAAGTGTCAGGCTGGGCATGGGTTGATGGGAGCTGACTTATAGGGGAGGTGGTCCAGTCAGCCCTGGGCATGTGACTATTATGTGTAGAGAATGTGTTTGGGGGAGTGGGGAGAAACACTCTCTAGGTGTTGTCTTCTTGAAGAGTTCAGGGTCGCAGGGATGGTTTGTGGGTCAGTGTGTTCTGCTATTTCTCAGAATTGAGGTCAGGGCAAGGGTTTGGCCCTGAAGTAATTCTAACTAATGTCTATTAGTTTGGTGGCCTTTCAGTTTTGCTTACATGATAGTTTAGAGACTGAACTTGAGAATGCCTTTCCAGAGAATAAGGATCTGGCTGACATTTTGCTATTTCCTCAGGGCCGCTGATCCAGAGTCAGGTGTGGCCCGGGGCATAGACTTCCACCACGTGTCTGCTGTACTCAACTTTGATCTTCCTCCTACTCCAGAAGCCTATGTTCATCGAGCTGGCAGGTAGGAGGATGGCACTGTAGTGAGCCCGGCATGCTAAAGGAGTTAGAGTCATCTAGACAGGCTAGTGATGCATGTTTGGTCTCCTCCCACTGTAGGACAGCTCGAGCCAACAACCCAGGCATAGTTCTGACCTTCGTGCTGCCCACAGAACAGTCTTGCTTGGCAAAGATTGAGGCGCTTCTCAGTGGAGGTAAGAGCCTTTGATCCATGACTGTGAGTCTGTAAGAAACAGGCTTCTCCCCACCTTGAAACCTATCACAGTATCTAGTGTGGTAGTGCACAGCTGTCATTGAAGAACACGGGGAGTGAGATAGGATGATTGACAATTTGATGCTAGCCTGGGATATAGAGCAAGACCCTTTTGTTATTGTTGCTATTTTCAAATCAAAGACTGGATCAGTGGTTAAGAGTGCTTGCTGCTCTTTTAGAGGACCCAGGTTTAGTTCCTAGCATCCACTTGGCAGTTCATAGTTGTCTGTAACTCCAACATCCTCTTTTGGCATCTGCGCGCACCAGACATGTACACAGTACACATGCAGGTAAAACACTCACACATAAAAAATAAAATAAAATAAATCTTTTAAAGTCTCAGATGAGAGGGAAGAAGACACTTTATAATAATGCCAAGTGTGGTATCACATACTATAATCCCAGCACTTGGGAGCCTGAGGCAGGAAGATTGAGAGTTCTAGGTCAGCCTAGGCTACATAGCTAGTTGGAGGCTTCCCTGGGATATATAGTGAGGCTCTGTGAAAAACACCAAAAAATCCATAGTGATGACAGACTTCCTCTACCACTTCCACTGTTCATCATCTTTCCCCATGTGACAAGTACTGTGTCCTTTCCTTTCACAGATAGTGGCTGAAGTAGTTTTCCACTATCATGTTCACTGGTTGCCTCATGGTCAGGGACTAATTAGATAGATATTCTGCTCTGTCTTGACTCAGATGCCTTGTCTGCAGGCAGGCACCATCATTGTGAGGGGTCTTGTGGCCACCCAAGCCCTGAAGTGAGTCGGTGGTGGGTTGTGAGGCTGGGGCTGTGGTGGCACAAAGGGCTCAAGGACACACCCCTGACCAGAGTATCTTTGGAACTGCTCTTTGA